CCTATATGACTATGAGACCAGAGGAACTAGATGGTGCCCAGCTACCACTGTCAACCACTGGAAGGGGGATCTCTGTAGGAGGTCCTGGATAGAGAAGGAGAACAATGTGGAACAAAATTCAAATCATTTTTAAAAAAAAAAAAAAAAAAAGGGAGAGAGAGACCAGGTTTTCTGGTTTGACAGACCCTGGTAGAACCACTGAGACTATGGCCCCTAGCTGCCTTTCAGGTCTGGAACTGAACCCGCTCTTGTGGCTGCCAGCCAAAAAAAAGAGGCATATGAGCTGAACATTTACATTAGGTGGATACACTCCTTGGAGAGATCAATCATGGGAGAATAGAAGGGCTATGTATGCACTCGGAGACAGCTGGGGGTGGGGCAGGAGTCAGGAGTGCATGGGAGGGAAGGACACAGGGAAAAGGTGGCTATGGGGAGGAAGTGGGAAATTGGAGTCAATGTCATGAGACAAAATGTATGTGAGCTGCTGTATGGAAGGTGAATTTGCTCTGTAAACTTTCACCCAAATCACAATAAAATTACAAAAAAAAAAAAAAAACAAACCCACACACTGCTTACTAATGGCATTTTACAACTTCATGTGTTTATTTATGCCAGAGATATTTATTGAGCTACTGTGCCAGTTATAAAGAATATAACAGTGCTCAAAAGAAACGAGGTTACTATCTTCATATCTGTGACATTCAGGTGAAGAGAAATAATTTAATTAGTCAGTAATAATAGCGTTGACTGAGATAGAGGGGAAGCTTGAGAAACTGGAGTCTTAAGACGGGGCTCTTCACCCAGCCTAGATAGGCAGGGAATGCTTCCTGGAGTGACATCTAAGCCAAGATGTGGAAGATGAATTGACCCAGATGAAAGAGGGACTGCAGGAGAGGCAAGTAAAGGGATCAGCCATGTGCAAAGGTTAAAGAGACCATTTCGCTTTGGGGAACTGAAAGTAGTTCTTTCAGAGTAGAACTTTGAGAGTGAAGAGTGGGTATTAGTACAGCTTGGAACTAGTTCAGCTCCCTGTTGAGAATTTGCATTTCCACCCTAGGTGTATTGAATCAGGATCCACATTATATATCAAGATCCCCAGGTGATCCTCTTAAGTATCTTGTTAAAGTGTAGATTTTGATTCAGTTTATCTGGGGTAGAAATGCAAATTCTTAGGCAGGGCAATGAACCAAAATGAACTGGTTTGAAGTTCTGTTATAGTAACAGGTAAAGTTGGAGTGGTGAGCCAGAGCTTAAAGGAACTTGAAAGCTGTGTTACAGAATTTGAATTTTATCCCTAGATCATGAGATGCCATTAAAGAATTTTAGTTTTATTAGTGTTCTACAGTAGGCAACTGTTTGGAAACTGAAGCAGGTTTTATGTGGCAGGATAATGAGTTCATTTTAAATACTTGTTTTCCGTTTGTGTGCCTTGCTCAATGTCCAGGGAGTAGGGTGCCAAGGGCCTGGGGGCAGAAGCCAGTTTGTAGTGAGTTGAGTGAAAGGAAGGTGAGGAAGTAGAGAAAGCAGCTGTAGACAACTCTTCCTAAAGGGCCTTTTTTTTTTTTTCCCCTTGCATCCGTCTCCCTGACTTTATTTAATGCTATAAGAAAAATGGGGGATAATGCTTTGCAAATTTTGTCTTATGAATTTTGTCTTTTGAAATATGCCGTAAGCTGTTTGAGGATAGGACCTCTTATCTAAAAAAAGGGTCTCATTCATTATAAATACTTAGAACAGCTCTGTGAAGAATGAACACTTGAAGCATACTGTGTTACAAAGTTCATACCTATTGTTGTTTTAGTGTAAAGATTGAGAATTTACAAAAGGTATAGGCTATTTTTAACTGGCTTAAATCTACAGGTAGCATTTTCCTTTAGTACTTTTGTTCTTGAGGTTTTAATTTTTTAAAAAAGCAACTCCTACCAACAGAGGGCACTATATTCCTTCTGAATGAAATATAAGCTGACTTCTTACCTGGTTAATTTTTTCTTCAGATGGGATGGAGGTAGATACTACACCAACAGTTGCTGGACAATTTGAGGATGCAGATGTTGACCACTGAAAATGATCTTAAGGTGAGTGCTTATTTTCTTGTCATTTAATGTGAAAATCATGTGAAATAATTTATTTTTATTTTCATAATTCAAGAGGGCTCTGTGTAGTTAGCAATTTGGAAAAAGAATGATCTATTTCTTAAATTATTGATTTTTTTTTTAATTACTATCCAGTTTTTTGACTTTTTTTAAACTTCCTTAAAAATGAATGTGTGCAACCATGGTGATGTTCAGTTTAGTTTAACATTTACTGAGCACCTATCATATGCCACACACTATGCTAGGCATTAATAGTAAATAGAAGAATGAGACATATACTTGTTTGCATTGAACTTAAAAGAACAATATGAACCTTTGTTTAGAAACAGACCTCCATGGTTGGTTCAAGCAGGAGTGGCAGAGTCTAAGATCATGTCCTGGTCTACTCTTAAGTCACCTGTGTGTATTAGAAAACACAAAGCAGAAATTTGCTACAACTCCCTACTTTTCAGTTTAGGGAGGAAGTAGAAGTAATTCCAAACTGAATTTAAGCCTAAAATCATAATCATGTGTTGGATTCCCTTCTGAAAATAACGGCAACAAAGGTCCTGGTCAGTGTAGTGTACAAGGATGATTTGCACATCATTTCCCAAGGTATTTCCTGCCTGCTTTTCTTGTTCTACAGAAGAGCCCACTGCCAGTTTTCTCTCCTTTACACATTCTCATAAGGAGCCCTGGTGGCACAGTGGTTGAGCACTTGGGTGCTAACCGGAAAGGTCTACAGTTCGAACCCACCAGTGGCTCTGCAGGAGAAAGACCTGGTGATATGAGATTACAGCCAAGAAAACCCTAAGTTGCAGTTTTACTCTTCCATGGGGTCACTGTGAGTCAGAATCAACTTGATGGCATGCACCATCACCACCGCCATCATATTCTCATGAGCTTTGCCTGAAGGGTATCCCTATTTATGAACTATTTCGTTACTTTGAGAAGCATATTGTTCTTTGCCAGCTTGAGGATCTCGACTGTTTGTTTAGTATAAACTGAAGGTTATGTACCTAGTTCTTATCATAGAGAGGTAGGACTAATAATCCTAGTAGTGTTTCTTTATAAACTAAGGTTTTTATGCTATTAAATTGTTGTTCCTATCTCCCCCTTACAGTATCCTCCTACCTCTGACCTTATAGCATTATCTTCTTGAATTCTGGCAACTTGTTCCTTGAGATGCCACTTACATCCTGATCTTTTATTTTAGTAAAGCCTACGGTGGTAGCATGGCAGGATTTATATATTTTGCCTTAAGTCTTTTACCACTGTCAGTTGCCACATTAGGTTGTGAGATCCTCGTTTTTTCCTGGTGTGATAAATATTTCAAAGTACCCTCTATTCTGTTCTGTTCTGGTATAGTTTTCAGTTCTAAACCTTAAGCAGGCATTTGTTTCTCCTCTAGTTATAAGTTTTAATTCCTGTACCCATGTTCCATTTTGCATCAGTTAGAATCCAGCCTTTCTCTCTTCCAGTTAACTTCTAGATTATTGCCACTGTGAATAGAACATGTTTCTTAAACCAAAACCAAATCCACTGCCATGGAGTCAATTTCAAGTCATAGCAATCCTATAGGACAGAACTGTGACATAGGGTTTCTAAGACTGTAATTTTTTTTTTTAATGTCATTTTTGAAAAAAAAAAATTTGGCAAAAACATTCACCCGTTTTTCAATTTCTACACATATAATTCAGTAACATTGGTTACATTCTTCACATTGTATCACCATTGTTACTCTCGGTACCCATATTATTTCACTACCATTGACTTAGACTCACTACCCCCCAAACTTCTCATCCATGCGTTAGAGTTATTGTTGCTAATTTGATCTCATATAGATAAGGCTGTAAATCCTTACAGAAGCAGACTGCCTCTTCTTTCTCCCAAAAAGCGGCTGATGGCTTCAAAACACCACCCTTTTGGTTAACAGCCAAATGCTTTAATCATGGTATCCCAGTCAGTGCTTCTTTGCTTTTTATACTAACCATGAATTGAGATATTGGATCTTTGATTTCCTCTCATGTATTGCCAGTAGATCTACCAGAAAATAACTTTTTAGAGTTCTCTGATTTATGTCTTTCCTTAAATATTTAATTTTTATTTCCACACCATTGACTTCTGTCATTGTTAACCATACCTTCTAAAATCAGCAATGTCTCTTCTGTAGTGCAGCCATGTGTTCATATTGCTGGAACTTTCTTAACTTTACTTTCAATTCTCACAGTTCCACATATCAGTAACTTCACTGTTTGACCTCACAGAAATCTTCTGCTACTGACTTAAGCCTTCTCTCCTTGTTTCTCATCACATTCTTTATAGCATCTTAGTTTATCCAAATCAGTGATACTTGTGTTAGTAACTTTCATTGAAACTGAAAAACAAATTTTTTGACCTTGTGGATTTCACATATTTGTTCTTGAAAATAGAACACTAGCCACTCTATTAATAAGGATCGTGAGAAACTCATTTGGTATGTCATTAATGGTTACACAAATAGGATGTTACTGCAGTTCTCTGGGGAGAATTCTTAGGGTACTTTGTGATGGTGAAATAACTATAAAACAGTCACAAACTTTCTAATGAGCTAATTGTTTGTTTTCTATTCATTTTATGCTAGAGCTCAGGGACAGAGATTTTATTCATAAAGTTTATACATGTTCTTCATCTGAGTAATTGACCTGAATTCCTAACAATGTCTGAAGATTTGTGATCGTTTAAAATTGTATTTGCCTTTAAGGAATGAATAAGGAATAATTACAGTGTTTATGTAACCATTAAAAATTTCAAGATAATGGAACTATTATATTAACCAACAAAAACCTCTCAGTATGTGAGAAGGGGTTAAGGGGAAGGGACGAGAATGGTGGAATTGCAACTTTTCCACTGTACTGATTGTGCTTTGGCGCAAGACAGTGAACCTCTCTGATCCTCAATTTCCTTATCTGTAGAATACGGATAATAATAACTGTCTTGCAGGGTTGTTGAAAGAATGAGATATAATATCTTGGCACAAGCAATTAAGTGCTCATTTACCAGCTAGAAGGTTGGTGGTTCAAACTCATCTGGAGGTGCCTTGGAAGACAGACTTGGCAGCCTGCTTCCAAAAGGTCACAGCCTTGAAAACTCATTGAAGCAGGTCTACTCTGCATACATGGGGTTGCCATGAATTGAAATTGACTCAGCAGCAATTAACGACAATAACAAAATGACCTGCCATTCTGAACATTGTTGTTGTAATCGGCTCCAACTCATAGTGACCCTGTGTACAGCAGAACAAAACACTTCCCGGTCCTGTGCCATCCTCATAATCCTTGCTGTGCTTGAGCCCATAGTTGGAGCCACAGTGGCAGTCCATCTTGTAAAGGGTCTTCCTCTTTTTCGCTGACCCTCTACCAAGAATGCTATCCTTTTCCAGGGACTGACCACTTCTGATAACATGACCAAAGTAAGTGAGAAGAAGTCTGGTCATTGTCGTTTCTAAGGAGCATTCTGGCTGCACTTACTCCAGGACAGATTTGTTAATAATACCCACTGCTGTCAAGTTGATTCTAACTCAGGAACCCTATAAAAGACAGAGTGGAACTGCTCTATTGGGGTTCCAAGGCTGTAAATCTTTAAATCTTTACAGAAGCAAACTGCCACATCTTTTTTTCCACAGAGTGACTGGTGGGTTCAAACTGCCTACCTTTTGGTTAGTAGTCGAGCACTTAATCAGTGCACTACCAGGGCCCCAATAAATAATAGCTACTATTATCTTGTAAATGTTGTAAACCTTTTGTTTTTCAGATTCTACCCATTTCTATAGGAGACAGTTGGTGCCTCTTATATGGAGTGGGGGTTGATGAAAATCTTCCCTTCTCCAAAACTCACCTGAACCAGTTCTTGAGACAGACTATACTGGGACAGCAAGTTGTCACCAGCAGAAGAAACTTGGGACCTTTATTAACAAAGGTGAATTAACTGAGAGGGTATTTGTAGTTTATTGTTGGCCCCAAAACTTTCTGTGTCCAGGTACTCTCTGAGTAGGCCTGTAATTTCTACCTTCACTATATGCATCTTCTGTAATCTAGCAGGGCTATGTGGTAAAAATGCACAGGCACTTGGAAGTGGAAGTTACCAAGTGGGAAAAGAGAGACAGAGCTCTATCTTATTTCCACGGAGCCATGTTTTACTAATTTTGAGCTCAGATTAATTTTTTTCAGGCATCTCTAGGTCGTTTCTTCAGAAATACCACCACCACCACACATGCCACCACTAACACAAGTCTTGGGCTTCTGACTAGCTTTTATTCCTTTGACCATGTTTACTTTAGCCTGCAAAATTCCACTCTGTTGTGTTATACCCATCAATCTCCAACCTTTTAGGTCAGTTTCTGTCATAGAACAAGTGAAATGGGGATGAAATTTTCAATGTACTTCAGATGAGAATTGTTTTGTCTTTGTAATAGCGTAACAAATAAATCTAGGTTTTCTATATGACTATGCTTTCATTCTTGACTAAAATCATTAATTAGAAATGTTCTTTTAAAAAAAATAATGCTGGCCCCCAAAATAACAATTTTGTGTTCACTTTTGTTGCGGTATTACATGAGAATGTGAACATGAAATGAGTTATAAATATTATCAGCTTCTGGCAAGTATTTAGTAGGCAAGTATTTCAAGGGATTTCTGCTGCTTCTTCCACTTGGATCAGGAGTGATTTTTTACAACAGTTTAAGTTGATAAATTTATACTAAGTTAATAGATTTATACTTGGACTTTCAATACCATTACATGACTCTAGAAATATGGCAAAGAAAGCGCCTCAGAATCAGTTGGCTGATTAGTGGGTAAACTTTAGTTAGACCCCACCCCGCTCAGTGTTATTCTCAGCGCTTTTGCTTGCTTTCTCTCACTCTGCAAAGTAGACTGAAAAAACTAATTTAATTTTCCTTTTTATAACCAGACTCAGAATCTCTAAATTTGTTGCAGTAGGCAAAAGGGCCACTTGGA